AAGAATATTGTGAAGAGATTAGCCCATTTCGACCCCAACATACCGTCAAAGCATTTAAAAAAATAACTTACTAATTGGTCGATTGGGAGGTGCTTTTAAGCGGGGGTCACTGTACTTTTTCCCCAGTTTTTTTTTTTTTTTTAAGCAGAATGTTTAGAAGACAATTATGGAGAGTAAAAGAAAGGTGAAAGGTGGTGAGAGAGTGAAAAAGGAGAGCAGATGAAAGGGGGGAGGCACGTCAAGAAATTTAAGAAAATAGAAAAAATTTTGGAGTGAGTTAAAAAGTTAAGAAAGCCTAGGGAAAGTATGGTTTTTGTCATTTTAAAAACAGAGTAGGGGAGTTAGTAGATGGGGAAAGGGAGGTATTAGGTAGAGGCGAGAATATTTTGGGGAAAACTTTTAAATGTTGAAGAAAGGGAGGGGGTAATTTCATGCACTGGCCGGGGAGGTATACCATCTTTTAGGTGAAGAAGAGCAGAATGTAAGTGTGGTGGAGGTACGTGAGGCATTACGTAGAATGAAAGGGGGGTAAAGCAGCTGGAAACTGATGGGAACATGACAGAAATGTTAAAAGCAGGGGGGGATATAGGGTTTTGGATTGGTTGGTACTTTTGTTTAAAAAATTTGTATGAAAGAGGGGAAGGTACCTAGGGATTGGCGGAGAGCATGTATAGCCCTTTATATAAAGGGAAAGGGGACGAAAGAGATTGTAAAATTATAAAAGGAATAAGTTTACTGAGTATACCAAAAAAGGTATACGGTAGGGTTATAATTGAAAGAATTAGAGGTAAGACAGAAGTTAGAATTCGGATGGCAAGGAGGCTTCAGAGTGGGTAGGGGATGTTTTAGATTAAGTGTTTACATTGAAGCATATATGTAAACAGTATTTAGATAAAGGTAGGGAATTTTTATTGCATTATGGATTTAGAAAAGGCATATGATAGAGTGGATAGAGGAGCAATGTGGCAGATGTTGCAAGTATATGGAATAGGTGGTAAGTTACTAAATGCTGTAAAGAGCTTTTATGAGGATAGTGAGGCTCAGGTTGGGGGTTGTGTAGAAGAGAGGGAAATATTCCCCGGTAAAATTTGGTCTTAGCCAGGGATGTGTAATGTCACCATGGTTGTTTAATATATTTATAGAGGGGGTTGTAAAAGAAAGTAAATGCTAGGGTGTTCGGGAGAGGGGTGGGATTAAATTATGGGGAATCAAATTCAAAATGGGAATTGACACAGTTACTTTTTGCTGATGAAACTGGGGCTTATGGGAGTTCTAAAGAAAAATTGCAAAGGTTAGTGGATGAGTTTTGAGAATGTGTGTAAAAGTAAAAAAGTTGAAAGTGAACATAGAAAAGAGTAAGGTGATGAGGGTATCAAATGATTTAGATAAAGAAAAATTGGATATCAAATTGGGGAGGAGGAGTATGGAAGAAGTGAATGTTTTCAGTATTGGGAGTTGAGTGTTGGCGGATGGATTTATGAAGGATGAGGTTAATCATAGAATTGATGAGGAAAATGGGTGGTGGTGCGTTGAGGTATATGTGGAGTCAAAAAACATTATCTATGGAGGCAAAGAAGGGAAGTATAAAAGTTAGTAGTACCAACAACTTTATGGGTGTGAAGCTTGGTTGGTAAATGCAGCAGCGGGAGGAGACGGTTGGAGGCAGTGTAGATGTCCTGTTTAAGGGCAATGTGGGGTTTGTAAATATTATGCAGAAAATTCGGAGTGTGGAAATTAGGAGAATGTGTGGATTTTAATAAAGCATAAGTCAGAGGGCAGAAGGGGGGTTTTGTTGAGGTGGTTTGGTCATTTAGAGAGAATGGATCAAAGTAGAATGACATGGAAAGCATATAAATCTATAGGGGAAGGAAAGAGGGGTGGGGGTCGTCCTCGAAAGGGTTGGAAAGAGGGGGAAAAGGAGGTTTTGTGGGCGAGGAGCTTGGACTTCCAGGAAGCGTGCATGAGCGTGTTAGATAGGAGTGAATGGAGACGAATGATACTTGGGACCTGACGATTTTGTTGGAGTGTGAGCAGGTAATATTTAGTGAAGGGATTCAGGGAAACCGGTTATTTTCATATAGTCAGACTTGAGTCCTGGAAATGGGAAGTACAATGTCTGCACTTTAAAGGAGGGGTTTGGGATATTGGGAGTTTGGAGGGATATGTTGTGTATCTTTATACGTATATGCTTCTAAACTGTTGTATTCTGAGCACCTCTGCGAAAGCAGTGATAATGTGTGAGTGTGGTGAAAGTGTTGAATGATGATGAAAGTATTTTCTGTTTGGGGATTTTCTTTCTTTTTTGGGTCACCCTGCCTCGGTGGGAGACGACCGACTTGTTGAAAAAAAAAAAAAAAAAATGTAATCTGGGGTGTTTGTTAATTCTCCTGTATTGGCAGTCCTCTGGTTTTTCTTTTGATTTGCTTCATTTTTCAGTGTCTTATAAAAAAAATAGATAAATGCATCCTATATTGTATTTTCAGCTGAACCAACACTTTTTTTTTTTCTATGCAAAAGTGTGTATAGTGAAGTGAAAGTGTAGAAGTAGCCCCCATCAGCAGACACCATGATGAACAGCGAGTTTATCCTCGAACTCATTAGTGTCTTTCATACTGGCCCTGTGAGTCTACATCTTTGTATGTTGCCTTTGTTCCAACATTGTTTAATATTGCTACTGTTCTAAAATTGTATTCTGCTTTATTTAAATTTTTGACATTCATAATGTTATACCGTATTCCTTGTATACTGTACTAAACATTAATCTAAGCATAGCAAGACTGAATATTTGTGGCCCTGAGGCAGGTTGAGCCAGGCTCCTGTCTACAGAAACTGGTAGGAAATGTGCCAACAGGCGTCATTCTGAAGGATGTCTCTCTTGAGATCCACGGAGGAGAACTGATGGCCATCCTGGGCTCCAAGGGTGAGTGTTGTTGTCTTTGCATTCTGAGCTCCAAGGGTGTATTACCACCTTGACTCACCACTTTCCTGTAACCACCATCACCACTAAATTCACTATCTCATTAGTGTTAACTTGACAGGAAGTGGTAAGCGTGCCCTGCTGGAGGTGATCTCTCGCCGTGCCCAGGGCCCCACCCGTGGTCAGATACTGTTGAACCATGTGCCCATGTCGCTGAGGTTGTTTCAAGACTCTTGTGGCTATGTCACTTATAAAACGCAGCTGCTGGAGGGACTCACAGCCAAACACACCCTTGAGTATGCTGCTAAACTCTCGCTTAGTTCCAAGGTCAGTGATAATATTAAGCTTAAGCATTTTTCTTCATTTTCGTAAAAACTGGTGAAGGGCTCTTGATCCAAGGAATTGTAGTTATCCTATTCCTCAGATCAAACCAGACTGCCTCCATTTCCTGTGTGCTTAATACTTCCCAAGATTAATAATAAAAATTAGTAAGAATTAATTTTGAACAAATTGTCTTCTTACTTGCACTCTCCTGGTCTTTCTCTTACTGTTGTCATTGCTAAATAAGTCACTTTTCTTACTTGTCTTCTCTTGCTGTTATTAATAAACAAGATCACTCGTGTCTTGTGTAGTTCTTGTCAGAAAAGGCCATTAATAAGGTTGTAATAATGTTGGTAGAATTATCAAGAAGATGTAAAGTAAAAGGACACAAGTGCAACTAATGTGAAATTTTTATTGTGGCAACATTTCGCTCTCCAGGAGCTTTGTCAAGCCATAACGGCTTGACAAAGTTCCTTGCACTTGTGTCCTTTTACTATACATTAATAAGGTTGCCTACATTTACAGTCATTGTTCTGCACAACAGTGTAACAGGAAAGGGACAACAGACCCCAATGGAAATAAGTCCTTTGAATTTTTTGGATTATCCTAGGTAATTTACACTACAGGCAGGCCCCACTTTACAGCACTTAGCTTTACAGTGTTTTGCTAATACAGCAGTTTTCAATTATGTATACCTATTCTTCATTTATTCAGACTTCTTACAATAAATATATTCAACATTCATTATAAGCCAAGGATGAAAATATTTTAACTAAAACATTCTCTTGATTTCCTAAAATCTTAGCAATCGACGCCTGTATGTATACACAAATGGAGTTACCTCCGCTACTCAGCCTGTAGTTGTTGGAGTGCCACAGGGTAGTGTCCTTGGCTCTCTACTCTTCCTCTTTTACATCAATGACCTCCCCAGTGCATCTTGACTCCTTAAACCAGTTCTGTTTGCATATGACACTACTAGTGTCTTCTCCCACTCAAACTGGGATGTGCTTAGATACTGTAAATGACGAGCTACTAAAAATATCTACTTGGATGATGACCAACAAACTCGCTCTCACTATAGACAAAACCTACTTCATGCTGTTTGGAAACAGAGCTTTAAATATCCAGCTTAACATATTGATAAATGGTTCTCCCATTACAAGACACATAGGGGGCAAATTTCTAGGTCTTCACCTTGACTCTACTCTTAAATTTCAGACCCACATCCAGCATATGTTCAAGAAGGTTTCCAAAACAGTAGGCATCCTTCCCCAAATATGGTACTAATGTACCCCAAACAGCATTACACTATAAGATGCCTTCATCTACGCTTACCTCACCTATGGTATTTGTGCTTGGGGATCGACCACGGCCAATCACCTTAAACCTTTGCACCAGACAACACACCACACTGCTCTTCAAGAGCTTGAACTTGCTTAATATACAAAATGAACACTTGTATTACTGTGCTTACTATATTTTTTTATTATTATTATTAACACTGGCTGTTTCCCACCAAGGCAGGTGTCTTGCCAGAAGGGTACTTTACACTACAGTTTTTAAACTGCAACATTAACACCCCTCCTCCAGAGTGCAGGCACTGTACTTCCCATCTCCAGGACTCAAGTCCGGCCTGCCGGTTTCCCTGAATCCCTTCATAAATGTTACTTTGCTCACACTCCAACAGCATATCAAGTATTAAAAATCATTTGTCTCCATTCACTCCTATCAAACACGTTCATGCATGCCCGCTGGAAGGCCAAGCCCCTCGCACACAAAGCCTCCTTTTACCCCCTCCTACCAACCTTCCTAGGCCGACCCCTACCCCTCCTTCCTTCCATGCAGACTATACACTCTGTAGGTCCAATTCTGTTCGCTCCTTGTCCTCTCGACATGTCCCGAACCCACCTCAACAACCCTTCCTCAGCCCGCTGGACAACAGTTTTGGCCACCCGCACCTCATAACTTTCCAAACTAGAATTCTCTGCATTATATTCACACCACACTTGCCCTCAACATGACATCTCCACTGGCCTCCAGCCTTCTCCTTGTGCTGCAACATTCATCACCCATGCTTCACACACCATTACAGGAGCGTTGTAAAACTATACTCTCATTACCATTCCCCTCTTTGCTTCCAAGGGCAAAGTTCCTTTGGTCTCCACAGACTCATAAGTGGCACTCGCTCTCCCTTTTCCCCTCATCAATTCTAATGATTCACCTCATCTTTCATAGACCCATCCGCTTCTGACACTTCCCAAATCCCAAATATCTGAATACATTCACCTCCTCCATACTCTCTCCCTCCAATCTGATATCCAATCTTTCATCACCTAATCTTTTTGTTATCCTCATAACCTTACTCTTTCCTGTATTTTCTTCTTTTACATACTTTTTACATACTTTTACATACTTTTACATTTTCTTCTTTTACAATTTTCTTCTTTTACATACCCTACCAAATTCATCCACCAACCTCTGCAACTTCTCTTCAGAATCACCCAAGAGCACATGTCCTCAGCAAAGAGCCACTGTGACAACTCCCACTTTGTGTGATTCTTTATCTTTTAACTCCACACCTCTTGCCAAGACCCTCGCATTTACTTCTCTTACAATCCCATCTGTAAATATATTGAACAACCACGGTGACATCACACATCCTTGTCTAAGGCCTACTTTTACTGGGAAATAATCTCCCTCTTTCCTACATACTCTAACTCGAGCCTCACTATCCTCGTAAAAACTCGTCACTGCTTTCAGTAACCTACCTCCTATACCATACATCTGTAACATCTGCCACATTGCCCCCCTATCCACCCTGTCATACGCCTTTTCCAAATCCATAAATGCCACAAAAACCCCTTTAGCCATATCTAAATACTGCTTACTATATATACAGAACATTAAATTCCAATATAATCTCTTCCCCCCCCACTCAAACTTCTAGATAATTACAACAGAATGAACAGGCATAACACTAGGCACAAAACACACTGTAATCCCTCATGTCCATCTCACACTATGCAAAAATACAATGCAATGCACATAAAGGGCCTGAAGATCTGGAATTCAATGCCAGAACCAGCAACAGGTCCCATTCCTGCAAATCAGTTTAGGTCTATACTTAAAAATCATCTCATCTCTTGATATTAACCATACCTTTGCTAAATCATCTACCTAGCTTGAATCAGCTCTCCCAAATATTTTATGACCTCTAATCTATTAAAACATTAATTCATACGTAAAATTGTAGTTGTATCATAAATTGTATTACGTACTTGTATTATGTTATTAGTTATGTACTACATCAAGACTATAAATCTTATTAACTATAAACTATTTGGCTACCTCACAGAAGTAATAGAGTAAAATAATGAATAACTTAAATTTACCACTCTTGACCTGTCTAGACTTAGGTAGTCTTTAAGTATTAGGATTAGTCTTCCCGAAATGCCGTGGCATGACAGTGGCTTTCTTTGTACCAAACAAATTATAATATGTAATCACGCATTGTAACTTTTGCATATAAGTAAATTTTTGTAGTTGTATGTAATGTGTACTGTACAGTAGAACCTCAGCTTACGAGTGCCCCACCATGCGAATTTTTCAAGATACGGAAAATTTGTTAATGAAGAACTCGCAAAAATTGCAACCTGGTTGACAGTCAATAAACTTACACTTAATATCAACAAAACCTTTTACATTGTTTGTGAGTAGAGCAAGTGAGGTCCAACTAAACATTATGCTTAACAACACCCTTATCGGTAAACATAATGAGGGAAAACTCCTGGGTCTGCACCTTGAGAGCAACCTGAAATTCAACGCCTATATCCAACACATAAAAGAAAGTTTCTAGGACAGTTGGCATCCTCTCAGATACGTTGCTTTGTACCACAACAGCACTACTTACACTATACTATTCACTGATCTACCCATTCCTCACTTATGCTATTAGTACCTGGGGTTCCACAATGAAAAACCACCTAAAATCAACAACACAATAAAAAGCTGCAGTGCAAATGATCACACAATCCACTGCTAGACAACCCCCCCCCCCTCACTCTTCAAAGACCTAAACCTACTCACTATACAAAACATTCACTTGTACTACTTACTACTGTACAACCTACATTTACAGAACAATCAATTCTAATATAAAGCCCAAACTAAAATGCTTTCTTGACAGTTGCATTAGGACTCATAGACACAACACTAGGCACAAAAACCTCTGACATTCCCCTTGTCAAGCTAAATCTTTTCAAAAACTCATTGTACATAAAAGAGCCCAAAACTCTGGGAAACTCTGCCAGAAATCTCCAGAACCACTGGTTCAGCTAGCATTTTTAAAACTACCTTATCTCCTTAACCTATCCCAGCCCATCATAAATACATCTGTAGAAACTATACATGCATTTGCTCAATATCATGAACATTTTTAAAACTTTCCTCATCAATTTAATTAATTTTTTTTGTTTTTTTTTTTTTTTTTTTTTTTTCAACAATTCGGCCGTTGGGGGCTCCGGGCGAGGCGGCGGGGCAGGGTGTGCGGGGCCAAAAAGACAGAAGAGAACGACGGCGAGTCGGCCCAAAATGAGGAGGGATGAGAGAGCGATTGGCGGATGTCAGATGCGACAGTGGTTCAAGAGCGCTCTTTGTCTATCGCAGAGTTTAGTGGCAGGAGTATATCACGCGGTCTGGCGGCACCTATAAACAAATGGAATTACTACCTGTTTTTGCAGAGGTGCCTAGAATTCAAACAGTCTAGAAGCAAAACATATAAAGATACACAACATATCCCTCCAAACTGCCAATATCCCAAACCCCTCCTTTAAAGTGCAGCATTGTACTTCCCATTTTCAGGACCAAGTCCGACTATATGAAAATAACCGTTTCCCTGAATCCCTTCACTAAATATTACCCTGCTCACACTCCAACAGATCGTCAGGTCCCAAGTACCATTCGTCTCCATTCACTCCTATCTAACACCTCACGCACGCTTGCTGGAAGTCCAAGCCCCTTACCCACAAAACCTCCTTTACCCCCCTCTCTCTCCAACCCTTTCGAGGACGACCCCTACCCCGCCTTCCTTCCCCTATAGATTTATATGCTTTCCATGTCATTCTACTGTGATCCATTCTCTCTAAATGACCAAACCACCTCAACAACCCCTCTTCTGCCCTCTGACTAATACTTTTATTAACATCCACACCTTCTCCTAATTTCCACACTCCGAATTTCTGCATAATATTTACACCACACATTGCCCTTAAACAGGACATCTCCGCTGCCTCCAACCGTCCTCCTCGCTGCTGCATTTACCACCCAAGCTTCACACCCATATAAGAGTGTTGGTACTACTATACTTTCATACATTCCCTTCTTGCCTCCATAGATAACGTTTTTTGACTCCACATATACCTCAACGCACCACTCACCTTTTTCCCTCATCAATTCTATGATTAACCTCATCCTTCATAAATCCATCCGCCGACACGTCAACTCCCAAGTATCTGAAAACATTCACTTCTTCCATACTCCTCCTCCCCAATTTGATATCCAATTTTTTCTTTATCTAAATCATTTGACACCCTCATCACCTTACTCTTTTCTATGTTCACTTTCAACTTTCTAACCTTTACACACATTCCCAAACTCATCCACTAACCTTTGCAATTTTCTTTAGAATCTCCCATAAGCACAGTATCATCAGCAAAAAGTAACTGTGTCAATTCCCATTTTGAATTTGATTCCCCATAATTTAATCCCACCCCTCTCCCAAACACCCTAGCATTTACTTCCTTTACAACCCCATCTATAAATATATTAAACAACCATGGTGACATTACACATCCCTGTCTAAGACCTACTTTTACCGGGAAGTAGTCTCCCTCTCTTCAACACACCCTAACCTGAGCCTCACTATCCTCATAAAAACTCTTTACAGCATTTAATAACTTACCACCTATTCCATATACTTGCAACATCTGCCACATTGCTCCTCTATCCACTCTATCATATGCCTTTTCTAAATCCATAAATGCAATAAAAACTTCCCTATCTTTATCTAAATACTGTTCACATATATGCTTCAATGTAAACACCTGATCTACACATCCCCTACCCACTCTAAAACCTCCTTGCTCATCCGCAATCCTAATTCTGTCTTACCTCTAATTCTTTCAATTATAACCCAACCGTACACTTTTCCTGGTATACTCAGTAAGCTTATTCCTCTATAATTTTTACAGTCTCTTTTGTCCCCTTTCCCTTTATATAAAGGGACTATACATGCTCTCTGCCAATCCCTAGGTACCTTCCCCTCTTTCATACATTTATTAAACAAAAGTACCAACCACTCCAACACTATATCCCCCCCTGCTTTTAACATTTCTGTCATGATCCCATCAGTTCCAGCTGCTTTACCCCCTTTCATTTTACGTAATGCCTCACGTACCTCACGTATCTGTATTTATCTCAAATGTTAATCACTACATTCTGTCTGCCTAAGGTAAATATGTGATCAAAATTGTACGTCTTCTCTACAAGACTTATTAAAGCCATATAGCATGACCTAATAAAATACTCAATTCTCTTGTATTCATTGTAAATCATCTAATGACCATTTGTACTGTTATTGCCTTGTTAATTATAAGTTAATTTTAAGTTTGCCTGAAATGCTCTGCATATAAGGGGCTTTTGGCATGTATTGTACACCTAACTATTATATTTCTTTGTACAAACATATACAGTGGAACCTCTTCTTAACCCTTAAACTGTCCAAACTTAGATCTAATTTTTTTCAACAATTGAAAGTATGTAAAAAAAGTAGATCTTTTTTTTTTTTTTACATTTGAAAACTTGTAAAAAACTTTGATCTACTTTTTTTTTTTTTTTTTTTTTTTTTTGTTATATTTGAAAATGTGTGTGTAAAGGTAGAAAGTTGAAAGTGAGCATAAAAAAGAGTAAGGTGATGAGAGTATCAAATGATTTAGATAAAGAAAAATTGAATATCAAATTGGGGAGGAGGAGTATGGAAGAAGTGAATGTTTTCAGATACTTGGGAGTTGACGTGTCAGCGGATGGATTTATGAAGGATGAGGTTAATCATAGAATTGATGAAGGAAAAAAGGTGAGTGGTGCATTGAGATATATGTGGAGGCAAAAAATTTTATCTATGGAGGCAAAGAAGGGAATGTAGAAAGTAGTATAGTAGTACCAACACTCTTATATGGGTGTGAAGCTTGCGTGTAAATGCTGCAGCGAGGAGGGGGGTTGGAGGCAGTGGAGATGTCCTGTCTAAGGGCAATGTGTGGGTGTAAATTTTATGCAAAAAATTTGGAGTGTGGAAATAGGAAAAGGTGCAAGTTAAAAAAGTATTAGTCAGAGGGCTGAAGGGGGTTTGTTGAGGGGGGTTTGGTCATTTAGAGAGAATGGATCAAAGTAGAATGACATGGAGAACGTATAAATCTGTAGGGGAAGGAAGGCGGGATAGTGGTCGTCCTCGAAAAGGTTGGAGGGAGGGGGTAAATGAGATGTTGTGGGCGAGGGGCTTGGATTTCCAGCAAGCGTGCGTGAGCGTGTTAGATAGGAGTGAATGGAGACAAATGGTATTTGGGACCTGATGAGCTGTTGGACTTTGAGCAGGGTAATATTTAGTGAAGGGATTCAGGGAAATTGGTTATTTTATATAACCGGACTTGAGTCCTGGAAATGGGAAGTACAGTGCCTGCACTCTACAGGAGGGGTTCGAGATATTGGCAGTTTGGAGGGATATATTGTGTATTTTTGTATGTATATACTTCTAAACTGTTGTATTCTTGGCACCTCTGCAAAAAGTGATCATGTGTGAGTGAAGTGAAAGTGTTGAATGATGATGAAAGTATTTTCTTTTTGGGGATTTTTTCTTTTTGGGTCACCCTGCCTCGGTGGGAGACGGCCGACTTGTTGGAAAAAAAAAATATAAAAAATAAATGTAGATCTACTTTTGGAGCACTTTGCATGTGAATGTAGATCTGCTTGGACAGTTTAAGGGTTAAGAGTGCATCCACGTGAGAGTTTTTCCAGATACAAGCAGTTGCTAGGTCGATTTTTTGCTTCCAGATGTGAGCGAAATTTCTAGATGCGAGTGGACCTCCAGGGAGGTTCCTTGACGCTGGTGAGGGTCTCTTGCTCTTGATATAGGGAATTGGATCTCAGTTGTTTGTTGGACTATCGTATTGAAACTTGGGCAATGTATGATGGAAAGGTGCTTCTTAACATACACCAAAAATTAAAGAAATCGGACCATAAGTAATAGAGTTCATTTTTCAGCCATTAGCCTCCCCTTAGTATATTTTCGTATGGTTTTTATGGTTGTAGTCTCGGATTTTTGGTCTTATTTGATAGAATGGAAGATATACTACAGAAATAGATATGACTTTGATTGGTTTCATGACGAAAAGTACCTTGAAATTGAGCTCAGAGTAGCAGAAATGTTAGATTCTTTGGCGATGTTCAAGAGTAAACGAATAATGTCACCGTCCAATACCTTTCCGACTGGCACTGCCCCTCAACCTTCAAATATTGGACAGCTCTTCAACACGCTAGCAGAAGTGGGAGCAGACATGAGGTAGCAGTGGCAGACATCATGAAGCAGCAGTGGCAGACATCATGAAGCAGCAGTGGCAGACATCATGAAGCAGCAGTGGCAGACATCATGAAGCAGCAGTGGCAGACATCATGAAGTAGCAGCGGCAGACATCATGAAGCAGCAGTAGCAGACAGCATGAGGCAGCAGTGGCAGACAGCATGAAGCAGCAGTGGCAGACAGCATGAAGCAGTAGTGGCAGACATCATGAAGCAGCAGTGCCAGACAACATGAAACAGCAGTGTCTGACTTTTTTGGGTTACCTTAGGTTCTTTACACATGTAGTCAGGAGCAGGAATGGCCGCTGTGGTGGCCCTGTAAATCCCAACAACAACAATGGCCGCTGTCACCACCACTAACTGCATACACAATGACGTGTATTTTATTCATTCTAGTACATATATATATCATGTTTCTGTTATTAATATTGTTTATTATGTCACATTAGATGAATTGGAATAGATAAATCAGCCACAGAGTTGATATTAGGAAAATTATTGAAGTATTTTGTTGTGCCTGGAATTCCACTGGAACAGATTAATTCCATTTCAGTTAATTTAAATGAGGAAATTGACTCTGCAAACAAGAAAATCCAGATGTGAGCAAGGTCACAGAATGGATTAAACTCGTAAGTAGAGGTTCCACTGTATGTCGAATAAAATATTATTATTATTATTATTAGCACCCTTCTGGCAAGACAGTGATGGAGTGAATGATGGTGAAAGTTTTTCTTTTTCGGGCCACCCTGCCTTGGTGGGAATCGGCCAGTGTGATAATAAAAAAAAAAATTATTATTATTATTATTATTATTATTAAGTTAGATAAACTTGCTACCGTATACATAAATTAACGATATTGATAAAAATTAAATTGAACGCACTACTCAAATTTGTCTAAAATTACTTTTAATTCATGTTTCCAAATAAAATGAAATATTTTTCCTTCAATGTTTATTACAAAAAATGTTTAGAGAGGTCTTGGAGAATGATTACCAAGTTTGTAAACTTGTACCAAAAAGTGTACAGTCCCATATAATAGTTGTGGAACTTCATAATTCTTGTCTTGCCTCTGCTGCTGAGGAGTGACTCTCTTACTCCTGCAACTGCTTACTGGTTCTCTTTCAAGATTGGGAGTTCAGTGCGATGTGGTAGAGTACGGCAGGTGCTGGCAGATCTGGCCCTAACACAGGTGGCCAATCGCCCAGTGGAGCAACTCACACCCTCTGAGTACCGCAGACTTGTCATCGGCGTCCAGCTTATCAAGGATCCCTGTGAGTAACCACAACTTAATCCAACTCAGAAGATAAAATTACTTAAGTGGATTAATTACTGTTGATCATGCTGTGCATTGCAGATTCAAGAGAAGAAAGCAGGCTTTCTTTGCCAAACAAGGTGGGAGGGATGATGATCTTGGCTTGTTGAATCCTTTAGTCAGGTTGGAAACAGTATAGAGTACAGTGGACCCTTGGTTATTGGCTGTAATCCGTTCCAGAAGCTCGACCTAAAACTGAAGTGGCCGAAAACCGAAATAATATTTCCCGTAAGAATTAATGTAAATACTCTTAATCCGTTCCTGACACCCAAAAATATTCACAAAAAAAAATAATTTTTTTCAAGATTAATTATAGTTTTATATACAACAATGAGAACTAAATCAAATAAATACATGAACAATTAAATCAGTATAACATAACTTTATTGAGGACTCTTCATGGCTTATGGAAGATAGGAGGAGAGAGGCTTGAGAGTCACTGTACCCCTGCAACTCGCTCCACTTTGCACACATGTCCTTAATCACTGAAGAAGGCACATTCTCTCCTCACTCTCCCTCCTTTGAAGCATTTTCCTCAGCTGTGGTCTGTTGCTGTTCCAGACGAAGGTCTTGCAACTCTACCCTCTACCACCATCACAACCACTACCACCCTCTACCACCATCACAACCACTACCACCATCACAACCACTACCACCCTCTACCACCATCACAACCACACCACCCTCTACCACCATCACAACCACTACCACCCTCTACCACAATCACTACCACTACCACCCTCTAAAACCCCAATTGCTACCACCATCACAACCACTCCACCCCCACCACCACACAACTACTACACCACCACCACCATCACAACACTACCACCACCACCACCATCCAAAACCCCTACCACCCACCACCCCCCATCACAACCACTACCACCCACCACCACCATCACAACCACTACCACCCACCACCACCACAACCACTAACCACCCACCACCACCATCACAACCACTACCACCACCACCACCACCACACAACCACTACCACCCTCCACCACCACCATCACAACCACTACCACCCCACCACCACCACACAACCACTACCACCCTCCACCATCCAACCACTACCACCCTCTACCAAACCACCATCACCAACCACACCACCCTCCACCATCACAACCCCCTAAACCCCCCTCCACCACCACCATCACAACCACTACCACCCTCCCCCCACCACCATCACAACCACTACCACCCTCCACCCACCATCACAACCACTACCACCCTCCACCACCACCATCACAACCACTACCACCCTCCACCATCACAACCACTACCACCCCCCCACCATCACAACCACTACCACCCTCCACCATCACAACCACTACCACCCTCCACCACCACCATCACAACCACTACCACCCTCTACCACAATTGCTACCACCATCACAACCACTACCAACCCACCACCCCATCACAACACTACCACCCCCACCACCATCACAACCACTACCACCCACCACCACCACACAACCACTACCACCCACCACCACCAACACAACCACTACCACCCACCACCACCATCACAACCACACCACCCACCACCACCATCACAACCACTACCACCCTCCACCATCACAACCATTACCACCCTCCACCACCACCATCACAAACCACTACCACCCTCCAAACCCTCACAACCACTACCACCCTCCACCACCACCATCACAACCACTAAACCACCCTCCACCACCACCATCACAACCACAAACCCCCCTCCACCACCACCATCACAACCACTACCACCCTCCACCCACCATCACAACCACTACCACCCTCCACCACCACCATCACAACCACTACCACCCTCCCCACCACCATCACAACCACTACCAAACCCTCCACCACCACCATCACAACCACTACCACCCTCCACCACCACCATCACAACCACTACCACCCTCCACCACCACCATCACAACCCCCTACCACCCTCCACCACCACCATCACAACCACTACCACCCTCCACCACCACACAAACCCCTACCACCCTCCACCATCACCAACCACTACCACCCTCCACCACCATCACAACCACTACCACCCACCACCACCATCAAAAACCACTACCACCCTCCACCATCACAACCACTACCACCCTCCACCACCACCATCACAACCCTACCACCCTCCACCATCACAACCACTACCACCCTCCACCACCCCATCACAACCACTACCACCCCTCCACCACCACCATCAAACCACCCTCCACCCATCACAACCACTACCACCCTCCACCATCACAACCACACCACCCTCCACCATCACAACCACTACCACCCTCCACCATCACAACCACTACCACCCTCCACCATCACAACCACTACCACCCTCCACCATCACAACCACTACCACCCTCCACCACCACCATCCAAAAACCACCCTCCCCATCACAACCACACCACCCTCCACCAAACACAACCACTACCACCCTCCACCATCACAACCACTACCACCCTCCACCACCACCATCACAACCACACCACCCTCCACCATCACAACCACTACCACCCTCCACCCCACCACCCAAACCCCAACCACCTCCAAACCCACCACCATCACAACCAACCCTCCACCATCACAACCACTACCACCCTCCACCATCACAACCACTACCACCCTCCACCACACAACCACAACCACCCTCCACCACCACCATCACAACCACTAACCACCCTCCACCACCACCATCACAACCACTACCACACCCCCCACCACCACAACCACTACCACCCTCCACCATCACAACCACTACCACCCTCCACCATCACAACCACTACCACCCTCCACCATCACAACCACTACCACCCCCACCATCACAACCACTACCCACCCCCACCACACAAAACCCCTACCACCCTCCACCATCACAACCACTACCACCCTCCACCATCACAACCACTACCACCCTCCACCATCACAACTACTACCACCCTCCACCATCACAACCACTACCACCCTCCACCATCACAACCACTACCAAAACCCTCCCCACCACCATCCAACACCCCCCTCACCACCATTCCCAACCCCTAAACCCCCATCACTACCACCCTCAAACCCCCACCACTCTTGTACTCCCACAATTTCTTTCTTAAATTCCATCGTTTCTCATTGTCTTTACCAAAGGAATCCTATTAGGAACTTTTCTTTGGGCCATGGTTACTAAATTTTTCAGTTGCACTTAATAAATAACCACCAAAAGCAATGGGTTATACAATGTTTGTGAATAGCAAAGCTTCCTCACTTCGCCAGAGACACACCAGACTGAGCACGAGTGGCTGAGCGTTGGTTGACAGTCCCATACGGGGATAAGCGAAATAACGCGATAAAAAGAAGCCAAAAAAAACCAGCCGGTAAACAGTTTGGGTGATAAGCAAACGGCCAGTAACTGAGATCCACTGTACTTGCATGGTAATGCCAGATCAGAACGGTAGGTATTTTAACAAGCTTTGATTACATCATTTTACTTTTCTGAGGTTTAAATGATAAAATGTCTGTATAAAACAGTAAACTCTGTATCTGCAGATTCGGTATAATGCAGTTTCATTAAAGCTACAGTTCTTAAAGCCTAAAAAGAAAGTGCTATTCTCGACTTAGTGTTCATAATTTATCAATGTAAACGAAAAATGACTTGTATGTGGGGTTTGCTACTATCTGCAGTAGGTCTTAGAATGTATCACCCGCAGATATAATATTTCAACATTGTAAAATAATTCAAATTATACCATTGTTTGTAATAATGTAATTTTTATAAACTAACTTTAAACCTTTAATTACTGTACTCACCATAACTCATCGAAGGTCCATATAATTCTGTTATTGCCTAACTAAAGTTAATATTAAGCTTGCCATGTGCTAAAATATAATACTGTAACTACCTCTGTTGATATATAAAAATCAATGTTCAATTCAAAACAGGGATGTGTAATATCACCATGGTTGTTTAATATATTTATAGATGGGGTTGTAAAAGAAGTAAATGCTAGGGTGTTTGGGGGAGGGGTGGGATTAAATTATGGGGAATCAAATACAAAATGGGAATTGACACTGTTACTTTTTGCTGATGATACTGTGCTTATGGGAGATTCTAAAGAAAAATTGCAAAGGTTAGTGGATGAGTTTGGGAGTGTGTGTAAAGGTAGAAAGTTGAAAGTGAACATAGAAAAGAGTAAGGTGATGAGGGTATCAAATGATTTAGATAAAGACAAATTGGATATCAAATTGGGGAGGAGGAGTATGGAAAAAGTGAATGTTTTCAGATACTTGGGAGTTGACGTGTTGGCGGATGGATTTATGAAGGATGAGGTTAATCATAGAATTGATGAAGGAAAAAAGGTGAGTGGTGCATTGAGGTATATGTGGAGTCAAAAAATGTTATCTATGGAGGCAAAGAAGGGAATGTATGAAAGTATAGTAGTACTAACACTCTATGGGTGTGAAGCTTGGGTTGTGAATGCAGCAGCGAGGAGGCGGTTGGAGGCAGTGGAGATGTCCTGTCTAAGGGCAATGTATGGTGTAAATATTATGCAGAAAATTCGGAGTGTGGAAATTAGGAGAAGGTGTGGAGTTAAAAGTATTAGTCAGAGGGCTGAAGAAGGGTTGTTGAGGTGGTTTGGTCATTTAGAGAGAATGGATCAAAGTAGAATGACATGGAGAGCATTTAAATCTGTAGGAGAAGGAAGGCGGGGTAGGGGTCGTCCTCGAAAAGGTTGGAAGGAAGGGGTAAGGGAGGTTTTGTGGGCAAGGGGCTTGGACTTCCAGCAGGTGTGCATGAGCGTGTTCGATAGGAGTGAATGGAGACGAATGGTATTTGGGACCTGATGATCTGTTGGAGTGTGAGCAGGGTAATATTTAGTGAAGGGATTCAGGGAAACTGGTTATTTTTATATTGCCGGACTTGAGTCCTGGAAATGGGAAGTACAATGCCTGCACTCTAAAGG